AGGCCGGCGAATTAAAATTTGAGGATGTCTCGAGCGAAACGCTTGTTTTTGAAATCCCGATCGATAAATCACAGGGTGCGGGCCACTTTTTCGTGTGTTGAGGATGTCTCGAGCGAAACGCTTGCTCCGCAGAGTTTGCCGAGGATGTCTCGAGCGAAACGCTTGTTTTGCAGAGCCGACCGCGACGCGGAAAAGCGCCCCGCGCGAAGGAATTTCGATGATGTCTCGACTAATTCCTTTGTTTTTGTACGATTTCCTGGAATTTTGGCAGGATGTCTCGAGCGAAATGCACGACCCCACCCTAGCACGACCATACCCCAGCACGACCACACCCCAGCACGACCAGACCCCAGCACGACCCCACCCCAGCACGACCCCACCCCAGCACGACCATACCCCAGCACGACCACACCCCAGCACGACCCGACCCCAGCACGACCCTACCCCAGCAAGACCACACCCCAGCACGACCACACCCCAGCACGACCTCACCACAGCACGACCACACCCCAGCACGACCACGCCCCAGCACGACCACGCCCCAGCAGACCACGCCCCAGCACGACCACCCCCCAGCACGACCACCCTCCCCAGCACGACCACACCCCAGCACGACCACACCCCAGCACGCACGACCACACCCCAGCACGACCACACCCCAGCACGACCCCACCCCAGCAAGACCACCCCAGCACGACCACACCCCAGCACGACCCACCACAGCACGACCACACCCCAGCACGACCACGCCCCAGCACGACCACGCCCCAGCACGACCACCCCCAGCACGACCACCCCCCAGCACGACCACCCAGCACGCACCCCCCACGCACCAGCACACCCCAGCACGACCACACCCCAGCACGACCCCACCCCAGCACGACCCCACCACAGCACGACCACCCCCCAGCACGACCACACCCCAGCACGACCACACCCCAGCACGACCCCACCCCAGCAAGACCACACCCCAGCACGACCACACCCCAGCACGACCTCACCACAGCACGACCCCACCCCAGCACGACCACGCCCCAGCACGACCACGCCCCAGCACGACCACGCCCCAGCACGACCACCCCCCAGCACGACCACCCCCCTAGCACGACCACACCCCAGCACGACCACACCCCAGCTCGACCACACCCCAGCACGACCACACCCCAACACGACCATACTCCAGCACGACCACACCCCAGCACGACCACACCCAGTCGCACCCCCGTGGAATGTTTCGTGGGGTGTCTGGTTGAGTGGTTGCCTGTTCGTGGGGTGTCTCGTGGAATGTTTCACGGGGTGTCTCGTGGAATGTTTCGTGAGGTGTCTCGTGGGTTGTTTCGTGAGGTGTCTCCTGGGATGTTTCGCGGGGTGTCTCGTGGGATGTTTCGTGAGGTGTCGCCCAGTTGGATATCGTGAAAACGTGACCATGCTGCACATGTCTATATCCCTTTCCGGGTTCGTGGGTCCATCATGTTCCCGGAAAGGGCTTAGGCCCAGGGTTCTCTTTTAGCTGTTTACCCCCGGATCTGACGGCTGTAGGGCCGGCGAAATTCTTTTGCGATAAATATCGAGGTCGCGTAGGGCCGGCGAATTAATATTTGAGGATGTCCCTAGCGAAACGCTTGTTTTTCAGAAATTGTTGAGGATGTCTCGAGCGAAACGCTTGTTTTGTGTTATAGATTGTCTTCTCCTGGAGTGAAATGCTTGGTTTCACGTGCCCAGGTCTTGAGGATGTCTCGAGCGAGACGCTTGGTTTCACGCCTCCAGGTTGCCCAGGCAGAGGTCAAGCGCCAGGATTTGTTGAGGATGTCTCGAGCGAGACGCTTGGTTTCACGCGTCCTCGTCGCCCAGGCGGATGTCTAGAATGAGGAGGTGTTGAGGAAGTCTCGATCGAGATGCTTGTTTGCACGTGTCCAGGTTGCCCAGGCGGATGCCTAGCATGAGGATGTGTTGAGAATGTCTCGAGAGATACGCTTGTTTTCACGTGTCCAGGTCGCCCAGGCGGATGTCTAACATGAAGATGTGTTGAGGATGTCTCGAGCGAGACGTTTGCTTTCACGTGTACAGGTCGCCAAGGCGGATGTCTAGAATGAGGAGGTGTTGAAAACGTCTCGAGCGAAACGCTTATTTTCACGTGCCCAGGTCACCCAGGCGGTCGTCTCACATGAAGATGTGTTGAGGATGTCTCGAGCGAACTACTTGTTTTCACGTGTCCAGTTCGCCCAGGCGGATGTCTAGCATGAGAATGTGTTGAGGATGTGCTGAGCGAAACGTTTGTTTTCACGTGTCCAGGTCGCTTAGGCGGATGTCTAGAATGAGGATTTTGACTGGATGTCTCGAGCGAAACGCTTGTCCCCAGCACGTTCCGTAGCGCGTCCCCTTGGCACGTCCCGCTGTGCGTCCCCATGGCACGTCCCCTGGCATGTCGCCTGGCGCGTGTCTTGAGACGTTCCGCGGCGCGTCCTCCTGGCATGTCCCCCTGTCAATTAGCTCTGCGGCAGATACTATGTGTTCAGGCAGCTCGAGCTTACTGTAAGATCCAGATCAGTTCGGTCAGGAGTCGGATGCAAAGGAGGACTCGATCCACGACGCTATAGAGCACAACCGCGGCATGCAATTCAGCACGGTGCAGCACAGCACAGACTTCGGCACGGTACATCAAGATCGATACAATCAGCATTGCAACTTGGCACGTTCCTTGGCACGTTCCGTGGGGCGTCCCTTGGCGAGTCCCCCTGGCACGTCGCGTGGCGCGCAATTCAGCACGGTGTAGCACAGCACAGCCCTCGGCACGGTACATCAAGATCGATACAATCAGCATTGCATTTGCCCGTCACCCAATCAGGTGTCTTTGAAATCGCTGCCATGCGTTATATTTCTATATTCCTTTCCGGGTTCGTGGGTCGATCATGTTATGACCTTACAGCCCTATAACCCCATTGCCCAATAACCCTATGGCCCTGTAGCCTTATGGTCCTATAGCCCTATAGCCACACAGCCGTAAAGACTCATAGCCCTATGGCCCAGTAGCCCCATGGCCCCAGAGCCCCATAGCCCTATAGCCCCCTCTAGCCCTCTAGCCCTATAATCGTATAGGCCTAGAGCTCTCTCTCTATATATATGCCTATAGCTCTATAGCCTCATAGCCTTATATCCCTACAGCCCTAGAGCCCGATGGTCATACAACCATATCGCCATATATATTCATAGCCTTATGGCCCCATAGCCCTATAACCCCATAGCCCTTTCATCCCTATAGACCTTTTCAACCCTCTCGCCCTCTAACCCCATAGCCCTATAGCCCTGTGGCCTTATAGCCCTGTAGTTCCATAGTCCTATAGTCCCGTCGCCCCACAGCCCAACAGCCTCATAGCTCTATAGTCGTACAAATGCAGTGAGTCGGCTTTTCTCCGGTATCATACATGTTTGATAAGTTGTCGAAGCAGTGCTTGTTCTTGGGAGCCTTGGTGTGAAGAGCATGTTACGTCGCTGTGAGCTCGTCGGGGCCATGGTGTTATTTGGGGCCCCGGTCGGTCGGTCGGAATAAGCAGGGAAGATGAGAGTCACGGGGGGCCACGTTCAGGCAGGGAAAGGGAGAGGAGTGGGGGCACGATCGGTCGTTCGGATTAAGCAGAGGGGGGAGGGCACGGGGGCAAACGAACGGGGGGGAGGGGGCGCACGATCGGTCGGTCGGATTAAGCAGAAGGAGGAGGGCACGGGGGGAAACAGGGAGGGCGCGGGGGGCAACGGTCGGGCAGGGGGGAGGGGCACGGTCGGTCGGTCGGCATAAGCAGAGGGGGGAGGGGGGGGCACGGAGGGAATGGGGGCACGGGGGGCCGCGGTCGGGCAAGGGGGTGGCGAGGTCGGGGTGAAGGAAGGCGCCCCCTCCTCTCCGGGGCGAGGGGGGGGGGGGCCCAGGCTGCGCACCAGAGCTGCCAGAGGAGGCCCGGAAAGGGCGCCGCGGAGGGGCCCCCCGCCCCAGGAGGAGCTCCCCGAGGGGCCCCCGCGGAGGGCCCCGCAGGGCCCCAGGGGGCCGTGCCCAGCTTTGCCACCATCCGTGGGCACAAAGGGGGTCGACATCCTTCTTCAGGAGCGGAAAAAGGACGTACATGTACATGAATCCACGCTGGTTTCGAGAGTTCGCATTGCGCAAATGTTCGTATAACGCGGCCGGTCTCGCGGATCGAGGGGCCGTGTTCATGTACATACCTGGGCGCGTACACCCTTTGTGGGCTCCCTACTTCTCGTCTTCGTTTGCCCAGCCCTCCTGGAGCCTCTGTGGCGTCAGCAGGAGCAGCTCATGGCACCCGTGGGTGTTTCAACAGAAAAAACACACAGAGGGCCACCAGGGCTGGCCGGGGAAGGCCCGGGGCAGAGCCCGCGAGGCCTGCAGGAGGAGGCTTGCACGAGTGCCCTGGAGAGGCTCCGGGGAGCCCAGACCTCTTCGCGCTGTGAAAGAATCGCGACGGGAGGTTTTTCATTATTTTCATAGTCTGGGGGCCCTTCTTGGGCGTCGGGGCTGTCGAGCATCGACTCGGGATGAGAAAAGCCGGGCCCCGGGAAGAGATCCAGACCTCTGGGGGTCGACGCCGCGAAGAAATCACAACGTCGGGGGTCTGGGCAGCGATTCTGGGGAACCTTGGCACCGGTTCTGGGGAACCGCGGTTCGGCTCGGCTCTGGTCGACTGCGCCCTCCCAGGCTGCTCGCGGCTCGTCGGTCTCGGTCGGTCTCCGGGTCGTTGTCGGCTCGGCCGGTGGTCGGTGGTGTTGTCGCCATGGCTGGCCTCGCCCAGGGAGGCCCCAGAGGGGCGTCAGCGCCGCTACTGGCGTGAAGTCGGGCACGTCCCTCTACAGGAGGAACATTTACAAATAGTGAAAAAATAGTCTGGAGGCGATGTTTCAAGCATGCTTAACTATTTCTCATTTGTTTTTTGCATTTTCCATTTTTCGCCCCAAATCCGCCTGTAAGGGGACATTCCCGACCTAATCCTGGGGCGCAGGAGCCGGGGCATGGCGACCAGCAGAAGCTGCGGCGGCTGGACCCCGAGGAGGACCGCCAGCTGCGGCCACGACGACCCTCATCAACGACGACGACCGTCAGCGACGACGGCGGCGACGTCGTCGGCGCGACCACGACGACGACAGCGTCGTCGAGGTCGTCGACGTCGACGTCGTCGTCGTCGTCGTCTTCATCCTCCCCCCCTCCCCCCTCATCTTCCTGCTCCCGCGGCTGCGCAACCGCACAGTGTCCTGCTAGTGAGCTCTCCTTGCTGCGCACCGTGACGCGCATCGCCCTACAGCTTTCCACGCGTGCGGCAGAGAGAAGAGCGCCTGTAGCTGTCGACCCAGGGTCGCTGGAGTCCGCCTCGAGCGCAGCCCGTGCCCGCCCTTGGCGCCAATCGCCTCCTCTTGCTCCCGCCGCCGCCACCGATCTTCTTCTCGGCCGTGTGCGGGCGCTTCGAAGACACGTCGCCCCAAGGGTGCCGCCTGCGCTTTGGAAAGAATGGCCTGCCAACACGAGCAGCAGAGAGATTGACGCCACCCCCTTGCGCCCCCGATTTGAAAGGGCGGATTCGCGCGCAGGCCACCGATTGCAAGCGTGGACGCGCTTTGGCTCGAAACGGCCTGCGCTCCCCCCAGGGGTCGACCGCCGCGAGCTTTTGACAAATGAGGGCCCAGGGCTGGGCCCCGCTATTGTCTGTCTTCGAGAGAGGCATTCTTTGTCGAAGCCCACGGCGCTATTCTTCGGAGACGCGCGTCGCCCCCAGGGTACAGCCAGCACCTACGTTGAGAGAGGGACGGGACCGCTCTGGGCTCAGGAGGTGCTCTGGTTTCCGCACCGTTCCCTGGAGCTGCGCCGGGGGACACTTGCGGGTGGCCGTCGGGGCTCGCCGGGGCCAGGGAAGCCTCTTCGTTCCCTGCCCAGCGCTGCTCCTCAGCACGACGGCCGTGCTGCCAATCCTGCTCCCCCGTGGCTGCCGCAGCGGAGCCCGCCGCGCACAGGAGGCGCACCTCAGCGGCTGCCTCGGGAGCGCGCTGGCGCGGACGCGGTCGCTGAACGGCCCGCCTGCGCCGAGCCTCTGCCCCCCCTGCGAGGTAGGAGGATGGAGCAGGCGCGCAGGGGGAGGGGAGCGGGGGAGGAGGAGAGGGAGGAGGGCGAGGAGGGCGAGGGGTGGGAGGGGGATGAGGTAGGAGGTCGGAGGTAGGAGGCAAGTGCACAGAGAGAGTGGGGCGGGGAGGGAGGGAGGGAGGGAGAGAAGGAGGGAGAGGAGGAGGAGGAGGAGGAGGAGGAGGCCCAGTGCAAGCCCAAGACTCATCAACGATGTTGCAACAGACCCTTCCTCCAAGTTATCCCCTCACAGGCCCAATACAAGATTCATTTTCACTGAAGGGAGTGACCCGTTGGACAGCAGCTGCTTGAAAATCCTGAGCTGGGCCAGAACACTGTTCCTGGGACTTCAACGCCACGAAGCCACGAATTACATTACTGTTGCGTTTTGACGTCCCTGCATCGTGCCAGAACACCATTGTTGGGACTGCAACGGCGCGAACCAACGTAACTGTTGCACCCTGACAGTCCGACATCGCACCGAACAGTATCTCTGGGAAGGTAACCATGAGAATCGTTGAAGCGATTCTAAACTCGTAAAACAAAATTTGCTCGGCGCTCGGAGAGCCACATTTGGAAAACGACCCGCCCTACATCCCTGAAACTCTTGCACTTGTTTCAACGAATTTGCGCGGCGCTAAGGCGAGAGCCACATTTTGAAAACGGCCCGCCCTTCATCCGTGGAGCACTTGCGTTTGTTAAAGAACTACTGTGAGCGTCGCTACGACGAGAGCCACATTTTGAAAACGCCCTGCCCTCTGTACGTGAAACTCATGCATGTTTTAACGGATGTGCGTGGCGTTCAGGCGAGAGCAACGTTGTTTAAACGACCAGCCCTCGTGTTCGTGAAACTCTGGCGAATCCTGAGAGTCAGGATCATACATGGTGAGAAAGTGTCGGGCGAAACGCCCGGCCCGCCCTTTCGATTGGCTCCGGGGTGCGACAGGGAAGAGCTATTTTAAAAGAGAAACAATCGAGGAGGAGGAGGAGGAGGAGGAGGAGGAGGAGACTGAGAAGGTATAGGGTAGGAGGTGGAACGTACAAGATAGCGGGAGGATGGGGTCGACGTCCTTGTTCCCGCTCGATGGTTTTTCCCCGATCTTGCGGATGGGTCCCCGCTGTGTGTCCCTCTGAGGAGGGTCTGGAGGGGTACCTTTCGAAAGTTGGCCCCAGCCACGGGCGGAAGAATGGCAGAAGCTTGCAGAAGATTGCCGAAGACGGCGGAAGACGGCCACAACTTGCAGTTTCGGCTTCGGGCGAGCGTTCAAGAGGACCAGGAGGGCCCCAAGACAGCCCTGGAGCGCTCAGAGATCTCCCAATATTGCGTCAAGACGGCCCTGTGGGGACGTAGGGACGCCCCGAGAGGGCCCCAAGAGCACCCGAAGAGGCGAACACCATGGCATCTCCTTGGACAAACGTACGTTTTGAGGCTGCTCCCTTTGTGGTTTTCAAAGCGTTCACGACGGCCCAAGAGGCGGCACCAAGATCGTCCCAGGACTGCCCGAGAAGGCCCCAAGAGAGCCCGAAGACAGTCCAAGAGGAGAGCGGAAGACGGAAGAAGACGGCGGAAGAAGGCCGTAAATGTGCAGTTGCGACCCCGGGCGTGCTGCAAGAGGCCCTGGAGAACCCCAAGACGATCCAAGAGCGCTCAAAAAGCTTTCAAGAAAGCTTCAAGACGGCACCAGAGGCCCCCAAGATGCCCGAAGAGGCCCCCAAGAGGACCCCAAAGAGGCGAACATGACGCCATCCCCATGGCAACACTTACGTTTTTTGCCTGCTCCCTTATGGTCTTCACAGCATCCACGACGGCCCAAGAGAGCCCGCAGACAGTCCAAGAGGGCTCCAAGACAGCCCAAGAAGCCCAAAGACAGCCCAAGAGAGGCCCCAGAGGGTTCCAAAATGCTCCCAAGAGAACCCTAAGATCAGCCCAAGACTGCCCAAGAGGTGCCCAAGAGCCCCAAGACAGCCCAAGAGAGGGCCCAGAGGGCCCCAACTGGCTCCCAAGAGAACCCTAAGCGCAACATAGAAGGCCCCCTAAGAGGGGCCAAAAGATCGCCCAGAGCGCCCCAAGACGGTCCCTTTATGGTCTTCGTTCGCAGCGTCCACGACGACCCAAGAGGCCCCCAAGATCGGTCCAAGACTGACCAAGAGAGCCCCAAGAGAGCCCGCAGACAGTCCCCGAAGGCTCCGAGACAGTTCCACAGCCATTTTGGCTCAAGCCATTCGGCGCAAGTAAAGACATTATCGGTGATGGTGATGATAGTGATGGTGATGCAGGCGGTGGTGATGGTGATGGTGATGGTGGTGATGATAATGATGCTAATGATGCTGATGATGATGATGATGATGATGATGATGATGATGATGATGATGATGATGATGATGATGATGATGATGATGATGATGATGATGATTATTCTGATGATTATGATGATCATGCGGATGATGATACTGATACCGATGACCATGATGATGACGATAATGATGATGACGGTGGCAATGAAGATGACCTTGCTGCTGCTGACGATGATGATGGCCATCCTGTTAGTGATGGTGAGGATGTGGGTGATGACGCTTGTGGTAATTATGATGATGAGGGCGATGCTCCTGACCATGGTGATGGTGCTGACGATGATGATGATGGTGAGGATGAGGATGTTGATGACGATGATGGTGATGATGATGCTGATGATGATGATGACAGTGATGCTGGTGATGGTGATGATGATGACGACGGCGATGGTGATGCTGATGATGCTGATGGTGACGTTGATGGTGTTGGTGGTGGTTGTGATGATGCTGCTGATGATGATGAGGAGGATGATGGCCATGATGGTCATGATGGTCATGCTGGCGGTGAGGATGTGGATTAACATGGTGATGGTGATGGTGGTGGCGATGGTGATGATGATGGAGATGGCAAATCTAATGATGATGATGATGATGATGATGATGATGATGATGATGATGATGATGATGATGATGATGATGATGATGATGATGATGATGATGATGATGATGGTGATGATGATGATGCTGATGATGATGCTGAGGAGCAGGAGGGGCCATTTCGCATGCGATGTCCCACACCAAGTACCAGAGCCCCCTTCAAAAGTGCGATTCGCAAGCAAGGGACACGTTGAGTTACACCCCCAGGAGGCGATCCGGACGCACCCGCATCGAGGATGGACCTCCCCACTCGTAGGTACACCCCACTCGTAGGTACACCACATCTTTCGCAGCCCTGGCAGAAGCAGACAGGAGTGAAAGGCGGACGGGGGATCAAAACTTCGAGCTAAGGCAGGAGCCGAGTTGCCCCACTCGTGTTTGAAGCTCCCCCCCCCTCGCCACGCCGTCCCCGCACACCTGCCCGCCGGGCCCCCCCCCGAGCCCCGGAAGTCCCTCCAAAGGGGCCTCCCCGGGCGCGTCGGTCCCCAACGGCCGGCGCCTGCGGCTCCCTGCCAATCAGAACTCGGCGGCGAGCGAGGGGGGAAAATATCAAGGGGAGAAGGCCCTCTCAGAAGGCGGCGGGGCTTCTCAGAAGCCCTCGCGCCTTCCGAGACGTTTTTGTCTGTCTTCTGGGACGGCTTACGGAGGAGGAGGGGGAGGAGGAGGAGGAGGAGGAGGAGGAGGAGGAGGAGGAGGAGGAGGAGGAGGAGGAAGAGCCTTCTGAGAAGGCCGCCCCTTGTCACTCCCCCCCCCCCCGGGGCTCGCCGCCAAGCAGAACCCCCCCCCCCCCCCTTGCCGCGGCGGCCGCACGAGCGCCGAAAGGCGCCGTGCTGGGCTCGGGCGCCTCCTCCGCCCTCGAGCTCTACGCCGCGTTCCAGCGCGCGCTCGGAGGCCAGCCGCCGCATGCAGTGGAGACCCAATGCCAAGAGACCCCCTGCTCGCCTCCAGGGTGCCTTGGGTTCCCCTTGGGCCTCGATGGCTCTGCGAGGGAGCGCGTGACGCTCCCACACCAGAAGTCAATAGACGCCCTGTGGGTCTCAGGGTTGGGTTTCTGGTGGAAGGTGGTCGAGTCCCTGTAGTGGGGGCCCATGCCAAGAGACCCCCTGCTCGCCTCCAGGGTGCCTGGGTTCCCCTTGGGCCTCGATGGCTCTGCGAGGGAGCGCGTGACGCTCCCACACCAGAAGTCAATAGACGCCCTGTGGGTCTCAGGGTTGGGTTTCTGGTGGAAGGTGGTCGAGTCCCTGTAGTGGGGGCCCATGCCAAGAAACACCCTGCTCGCCTCCAGGGAGCCCTGGGTTCCCCTTGGGCCTCGATGGCTCTGCGAGGGAGCGCGTGGCGCTCCCACACCAGAAGTCAATGGACGCCCTGTGGGTCTCAGGGTTGGGTTTCTGGTGGAAGGTGGTCGAGTCCCTGTAGTGGGGGCCCATGCCAAGAGACCCCCTGCTCGCCTCCAGGGTGCCCTGGGTTCCCCTTGGGCCTTGATGGCTCTGCGAGGGAGCGCGTGACGCTCCCACACCAGAAGTCAATAGACGCCCTGTGGGTCTCAGGGTTGGGTTTCTGGTGGAAGGTGGTCGAGTCCCTGTAGTGGGGGCCCATGCCAAGAAACACCCTGCTCGCCTCCAGGGTGCCCTGGGTTCCCCTTGGGCCTCGATGGCTCTGCGAGGGAGCGCGTGGCGCTCCCACACCAGAAGTCAATAGACGCCCTGTGGGTCTCAGGGTTGGGTTTCTGGTGGAAGGTGGTCGAGTCCCTGTAGTGGGGGCCCATGCCAAGAAACACCCTGCTCGCCTCCAGGGTGCCCTGGGTTCCCCTTGGGCCTCGATGGCTCTGCGAGGGAGCGCGTGGCGCTCCCACACCAGAAGTCAATGGACGCCCTGTGGGTCTCAGGGTTGGGTTTCTGGTGGACGAGTCCCCCCATGAGCTCGCCTGTAGGGCCTTGCTAGTTAGAAAGGTGGAAGGCGAGTCCCGCCCATGCCAAGAGACCCCCTGCTCGCCTCCAGGGTGCCTGGGTTCCCCTTGGGCCTCGATGGCTCTGCGAGGGAGCGCGTGACGCTCCCACACCAGAAGTCAATAGACGCCCTGTGGGTCTCAGGGTTGGGTTTCTGGTGGAAGGTGGTCGAGTCCCTGTAGTGGGGGCCCATGCCAAGAAACACCCTGCTCGCCTCCAGGGTGCCCTGGGTTCCCCTTGGGCCTCGATGGCTCTGCGAGGGAGCGCGTGCCGCTCCCACACCAGAAGTCAATAGACGCCCTGTGGGTCTCAGGGTTGGGTTTCTGGTGGAAGGTGGTCGAGTCCCTGTAGTGGGGGCCCATGCCAAGAGACCCCCTGCTCGCCTCCAGGGTGCCCTGGGTTCCCCTTGGGCTCGATGGCTCTGCGAGGGAGCGCGTGACGCTCCCACACCAGAAGTCAATAGACGCCCTGTGGGTCTCAGGGTTGGGTTTCTGGTGGAAGGTGGTCGAGTCCCTGTAGTGGGGGCCCATGCCAAGAGACCCCCCTGCTCGCCTCCAGGGTGCCCTGGGTTCCCCTTGGGCCTCGATGGCTCTGCGAGGGAGCGCGTGACGCTCCCACACCAGAAGTCAATAGACGCCCTGTGGGTCTCAGGGTTGGGTTTCTGGTGGAAGGTGGTCGAGTCCCTGTAGTGGGGGCCCATGCCAAGAGACCCCCCTGCTCGCCTCCAGGGTGCCCTGGGTTCCCCTTGGGCCTCGATGGCTCTGCGAGGGAGCGCGTGACGCTCCGACACCAAAAATCAATGGACGCCCTGGGGGTCTCAGGGCTGGGTTTCTGGTGGAAGGTTTCTTGTGGTCGACCCCCTACTGTTAGGTCGGGCCTGTCCCGCTACAGGAGGAATATTCAAAGATAGTCAGCAACTCGTCTGGGGACGACTATTCGATTTTTGAATCGCTTCGCTCATTCTGCCAGCCCGTGGGGGCCTCTTGGGGGCCTCTTAGGGTCTCCAAGAGGCCTCTTGGGGGCTTCTCAGAGCCTCTTAGGGGCCTCTTGGGGGCGTCTTGGGGGCCTCGTGAGGGCTCTTGGGGGCCTCTTGGGGCCTCTTAGGGGCCTCTTGGGGCTTCCTGGAGGCCTCTCAGGACCGAGGGTTCGAAATGTTGTTTCGTGCTCCCCCTCTGGGGCCGCTCTTGGGGCGCTCTAGGGGCCCTCTTGGGCCGTCTTGGAGGCCTCTTGGGCCGTCTTGGGCCGTCTTGGGGCCCTCTTGGGGGATTCTTGGGTCTTGGGGCGTCGGGAAGCCGAAAAGGCGGAAACACTAACATCTTTCCAAAACCTAGGAAAAGCAATGAGTTTTGCATCTTGGGGCCCTCTTGAGAGTGCTCTTGGAGGCCTCTTGGGGCGTCTGGGGGCCATCTTGGGCGTCTTGGAGCGATCTTGTGGCATCTTCGAGCCCTCTTGTATCATCTTGGGGGCCTCTTGGAGGCCTCTTGACCCTTCTTGGGTCTCTCTGGAGGGTCTCGAGGGCGGCGCCCAGACGGAAAACCATGTCTGACCCGACCCTGCCGGGGTACTTCTCTTCCGGGGACCCCCAGGGGCCGCCCCCCGCGCGCGAAGTAGAAATACTGTAAAGCAATTACCGGAGATATTAGCACGCCTCTGGCCCGTTGGGCCGGCGAGTTTTGGACTATGTTAGAGCATTGTTTAGATTATGTGTTTTTTTGTAAAAAAAAACGCCTGTAGGAGGACATGCCCGACCTAACCCCCTTCTCTGAGAGGAGGATGAGGAGGAGGAGGAGGAGGGCTGAGTGGTTTAGGACTCCGAGGAGGAGGAGGAGGAGGAGGAGGAGGAGGAGGAGGAGGGAGAGGGAGGAGAGAGGAGGAGGAGGAGAAGGAGGAGGAGGAGGAGGAGGAGGAGGAGGAGGAGCAGGAGGAGGAGGAGGAGGAGGAGGAGCAGGGGGAGGAGGAGGAGGAGGAGGAGGAGGAGGAGGAGGAGGGGGGGGAGGAGCGGCGGCGCGCGCGCGCGCCCTCACGACGTGTGCGGGCGGCGCGGCTCGTCGAAGGGCGCCGCTCCGTTTGCCGAGCGGTCCTGCGGCCGGGCCGCGGTCCCAGCTTGAGGCCGGCCCGGGTCCGAAGCTCGAGGCTTCCCAGGGAAAGAAAGGAACGGGGCCGAGGGAGCAAGCGGCACCCGGGGACCCAAGGGGCTCGCCTCGATTCCTCCGGTTCGCTTCGGTTCGATTTCGGTGGTCTCCGATTCCGATTCGATCCGATTTTGGATTCCGACTTTTGGGCTCCGATGCCCTGCTGGAGGCCTACTGGCCTGCCGATTGCTGCCGATGCGGCTTCTCTCGACTCGGCTGCCGATTGCTCCGCCCTTCCCATGCCTTTCGATCGCCGAGCCGACTCCTCGATTCGACTCTGGGCTCTCCTGGATTCGAGGTTCGAGGCTTCCGAGCGCGGTTCTCGGCGATTTTCCATGATCGGCGTGTTTTCCACCACCACCACCATAAGTTGGAGTTGGGAAGGAGGAGGAGGAGGACGAGGAGGAGGAGGACGAAGAAGAGGAGGAGGAGGAGGAGGAAGAGGAGGGCACCCTCCCCCTCCAACTTATGGTGGTGGTGGTGGTGGAAAACAGGCCCATCATTCCAGTCCCGATGCCCTCCAGCGTCTGCGCCTCGCCGAGGTCGTTTTTCCCGGGTTGTGCGACATCGTCCCGAGCGGGCGCCGGAGGCCCGAGCTGCTGCCCGGAAGCCACTAGGGGATAGGCGCCCAGTCGAGATACAGGGGATATCCTCCTCCTCCTCCTCCTCCTCCTCCTCCTCAGGAGGAGGAGGAGGAGGAGGAGGAGGAGGAGGAGGAGGATAGCCCCATGACCAGACGCCACTAGGGGATAGGTGCCTGGATGATCTTGATGCCTCCTGGGGAAGGGGGACTCGACGCCGACTCCGACGTCGACGCCGAGGAGGGGCGAGCAGAAGGAGGTCGAGCAGAAGAAGAATGACAAGGACGAGGGTGCAGAGAGGAGGGAGGAGCCGAAGAACACGCAAGAAAGGACGAATGCACGAAGGTTTTCGAGCGCGACCAGTGGGCAGAGAAGCCAGCATGATCCCAGGATTGTGAGAGCCACACAATAACCAAGCTCGACCAACTCAGCAAGGTCACGGACCAGGTCACGTGAGTCGTTTCTCGGCAGGCGTGCCTCGCCGAAGCGATACGGCGCCTCGGCGCCCCCTCCGCTGCGCCTCCATGGCGCCACGCACGCGGAGCCAGCCAGGGGAAGGGGGACCCCGGGATGTGATGCTCTTGTTTTTGGCCGACGGAGGGCCCCATGTGTGCTTGAGGGACGTGTTCCTGGCCCAGGTGTCCGACTGTATGTCGTCCCTGGGTGCGTGGCTGAAGCGCGCCCATCATCAGGAGCGAAAGAAGGACGTACATGTACATGAATCCACGCTGGTTTCGAGGGTTCGCATTGCGCGAGTGTTCGTATCGCGCGGCAGGTCTCGCGGGTCGAGGGGCCGTGTTCATGTACATAGCTGGGCGCGTACGTCCTTTGTGTGCTCCCTACATCAGAAACAAAAGGAGAAGCATACGCTTCCATGGACTCCAGACTCCGCGTAAGACGATCAGGAATCCGGGCCTGGACCGTGGGCGTTCTCCGGGAGTGCCTTTGCTGCGCAGAGTGTTCGTAGATCTGGACTTGGGCAACTGTGTAAGAAAACGCTTCGCGTGAAGTCCATGCTCTTAGCTTCGAATTCTCTGAAATCTAAGCAGGGGTGTAGAATTCCGCGGCGCGGATCCTGTTGTCGTCCTCGCCCACGACCCCCCCCGCGACCCACCCACGACCCTCCTGCGACTCTCTCTATGGCCTCGATGGTCCTCGGAACGTGTGTTGCGCCAGCGCCAGCGCGTGCTTGTCCACCGAAGCCCTCCGACACGACGCGGTTTCACGAGGGC